TCTCTCTCTCTCTCTCTCTCTTTGTATGCAGATAAACACATCTCTGTTGTTTAAATATTTAATAGGCATTTAAAACAATCGTTAACATTTAGCAATGGCTTATAATGTGCCAAGTAAGCACCCTGCCAAGATAAGCACAGTCTTTAAATACCAGCAACTATTATCTGATTGGTTTACAGAGGAGAGAATTGAGGTAAAAGTAGAGCTGGGGATCCTGCCAAAGGTCTCAGCACCTGTGAGGGGTGGACCTGGGATTCCACACAAAATAGAACCCTCCCAGCAAATGTGGGGCACCCTGCAGAGCTTCCATGCAAGTCACAAGAGTGCCCTGCTTCTGCGCCTGTGCCCAGCACGCTCCCTTTGTGCCTCTCTGCAGCCCGAATCTTTGCCCTGCTCTGCAGCCAAGAGCGATCTGTCCAAACTCTTGCCAGACTGGCTTCTCATCCAGGCAAACCCAGACCAGGTGGCCTCAGGAAATTCCCACCCAGGATGGCATTTACTCAGCTCTGAAACTACCCACCACGTGTTCAATTTTCCGTTTCAGTCTCATCACCCCATAGTGCCACCTGCCACTTGCTGACAGTCTGCCAGGGCGGGGGGAGGGGGGCTGGAATCAAAACTTCCAGTCTTAAGAGAGACCCTGGAGGCTGCCGCTGGAAGACCCTGGACATTGTCCTCTAACACTGATTGAGCACTGACTGTATGCTGGGCACCAAGAAAGCATCAAAGAGCCTAAAGCACTCTATAGATCCTGTATGAGTTTCCTATTGCTGCTGTAACAAAACTCCACCAACTTAGTGACCCAAAACAACACAAATGTATTATCGTACAGTTTGGGAGTCAGAAGTCTGAACTGGGTCTTAAACCCACTGCCGTCAAGTAGATTCCGACTCATAGAACTGTCCCATAGGGTTTTCTCACCTATCATCTTTACAGAGGCAGACTGCCAACATCTTTCTCCTGCAGAATGGCTGGTAGGTTCGACCCGGTTGGTGGGTTCAAACCACCAGCCTTTTGGTCAGCAGCTGAGTGCTTAACTACTGCACTGCCAGGGGTCCTTGAGCTGGGTCTTACATGGCTAAAATCAAAGTGTCAGCAGGTCTGAGTTCTTTCTGGAGGGTCTAGGAGAGAGTGTTGTCTTGCCTTTTCAAAGGTCTAGAGGCCACCCACATTCCTTGGCTCGTGGTCCCCTCCTCCATCTTTAAAGCCAGCAGGGTCACATCTTCCAACCTCTCTCCAATTCCCCTCTTCCACCTTCCACTTTGAAGTATCCTTGTGCCCACATGGAAAGCTCGTGGGTGGGACAAACAGTTTGCACTAGACTGCTAACCTAAAAAGGAGCCCTCATGGGGCAGTAGTTACGCGCTTGACAGCTAACTGAAAGGTCAGTGGCTTGAACCCGCCAGGTGCTCCACAGGAGAAAGATGTGGCAGTCAGCTTCCGTAAAGATGGCAGCCTTGGTAACCCTACGGGGCAGCTCTACTCTGCCCTCTAGTTGCTGTAAGTCAGAGTTGGCTTGTCAGCATCAGGTTTGGGTTGGTTGGTTTGTTAAACTAACCTTCAGTTTGGTGGCTCAAGCCCACCTAGCAGTGCTGCAGAAGAAAGGCCTGGCAATCACTTTCCATAACTATTTCAACCAAGAAAACCCAACGAAGCAATTCTACTCTGTAACCCATGGAGTCGCCATGAGTCGAAATTGACTCAACAGCAACGGGCTGAGTTTGGTTTTGCACGTGTATTGACACTGCCCCTCCCCACACCATCCAGAGTAATCTCCTCATTTTGAATTAAGTGGAACTCTGTTTGCAGCATTAATTCTCCTTTGCTAGGCAAGTAAATATGGTCACAGATTCCAGGAATTAGGCTGTGGATACTTTTTTTTGGGGGGGGGGCAAGGGGGGAGACACTATTCTCCCCACCACAGTGTCAAACCCAGCTTCATTGGCTAATGAGCCCCCACAAGCCTGCCTGCACACTCACCGTCATGCAGACAAGTGGACTGAGGTTTGGGGCCGGAGTTTAGGAATGAGTGAGAGGGGGACAGTGTACGGGGAGAGAAGGAAGTAGGAGACGGGCTTTAGCAGCAGCCCTGGGGCGCTCCGATCTAACCCACCAAAGGCATTCCTCCCATCCCAGGTTGAATGCTATCCCTATCTGTCTTACTGGAGACATCAGTGCCTATTATTATTATTATAACAACAACAACAAAGGCTGGCATTTGAAGGCTTCTGGTGGGTGAGGCACTGCACTGAGGATTTCTCTTTCCAATGCTAAACATTTTATAGCCATTGTATTACTAAATGCTGGCAGAAAGTCAATGCCCCAAAGAGTGTCATTTCAGATCCATTTTGTTGAGGAGAAAACTGAGGCTCTGAGGGGAAACTGCCTGCTCAAAGTCATGTTGGTTGGAA